ACCGTAGAAATTAACATATATGTACCTAGATTGGAGTGTTCTAAAAATGTAACAAATGACAGGCGTTCTCTCTGTGAAGGAATGTGTTATGATTGCTCTATAAAGTTTCGCTAATAGGTAACAGATGACACAACTGTGCCTGCATTTTTGGATGAAATTCTAGTCCACATAGATTGTTTTCTTTACCCTTATTTCTAGGATGTTAACTCGTACACACAAAAATAGCTATTGGATGGCATAAACCTGGAACATCCTGTAGTTATCCGAGCAACCTTGATTTCAAACGAGAACTGATAGTAAGGAGGACTTATCCGCTTTTTATCCTTCACATTTTCAAAATAACATGCTCCACTTATAGTTGATTAATTTTACTTAGAAATGTTTGCATTTTATTAAGTGTTATCACTAGAGGTAGTTGAAATTGAGTTTTGTTTACGGCGAGATAGGGCACCATCATACAACTATCATCATACGAGTACCCACCTTGAGAAGCTATTCACAAACAGGCGGACCGAACAAAAGGGCCTTCGAAGAATATCGCTTGTTTTACCCGACCTCACATTTAAGAAGCTTTATGAGACCACTTAAGAGATAAAGTCTACACTAGATAAGCGGCAACAGTCGTTGAATTGAAAGTAGCAACCGAACAATACTGCACTCTGATACAAAACGGAATGTGCCTTAACGTTTGCGATTCCACTACTCCACGTTATCAATACCTTGAAAAGAAGCGTTGACAAAACAGGCAAACAAAGTACGTAGATGCAGGTAGGTCTTGAAAATGTAATATGTTCTTAAGCACTGCCTTCATAATAAATTTTGGTATGTACACCTTTTGGGACACCATGCATGATGAAAAAACATTGACAGAAATTTAGGTGCAAGAATTGTGCAGCCACAATATATTTTTAAAAGCTTTTAAATTCGCCACAGCTACCAAACTCGGGATAAACGTTGACAAGCATGTCTAGGAAGAATGCATTTGAAGTGCAGACTTAACTCCGGGAATAACATTCAAGTAAACTATGGAAAATCGGGAAATCCAAACAGTCCCAGACGCTTTAACCTGGAGTTGTGCTGTAGGTCTATGAATCTCGGAACGAATTTAAGATGAAAATCTTGTAACTGACAGGCACAATTCGGACAAGAAGCAATCGCAAAAATCCCTAAGCATTCGTGCTTAACGAACCCGAAGGTACTCTCATTGGATCTGTTTGCCTATCAGCTGACTTTTCCTATTAGATTTGGCCCGCTAAGTAAACCGCTTATTCTCTTTACATTGCAGCCCATCTCAGGCTCACTCGGGCTGCCTGTTGTGATTATTAAATCATTTTTCGTCAATTTGTTTTGGGACGGTGAGCAATTATCGTGGTTAATTTTACCTAGAAATACATTAAGAAAACTTTTTAAGTACAAATTCCTTTGAAAGCCAGTGCTTGCACTAGTATGAGTATCTTCGGGGCACTCATTTTGCACAATAAAACAGTTGTACTATATAGAGAACCAGACTTCGACGATTTTTAAATAACCGCAGCATAGAAATTTCCGGAAAACGAACTTATTAAAGCGGCCGCAGTTACTTTTTCGCCCATAACTCGAATGCTGGCTTCTGCTGAACTGAAGACCTTGGACTCAAATAACGACGTACGGGAATCTAACATATGCTAGGACCAGGAAAGCTCTCTGATCTGCCAATTAGAAGTACGGTCATACTGATATTTGCACGTCTTTTTATATTTATAAATTTTCGATAAGCTAATTTAGGAGAGTTTAACCAACTACTTACGAGGCATAGGAAGCGGACCTGGTGAAAATTAAGTAGTCCGACCCAGCTGGTAAGTCGAATTAACCAGTTGTAATTTAGAGCATTAAAAGCGGTCTTTGTTTGCTTTATGTTTTTTTAACTCTTTAAATAAATGTATCCGAGTTTTCATACGTGCTTGTGTCTTTTTATGATAGTCTTGAGCCTTCGAGTAAAAAAATGACACTGGTTGTTTTCGAGGCTCGACAGCCCTCTGACTTATTTTTACTAGGAGGAAATTGACCTTTGGGGTCTTGGCAACTACTCAATTGTCGTTCATTTTCAGAAGCAATAATATGTTGAATACCTTATTGTCAAAGTTCTATGGTGATTTCATCTTAAAGTGGCTACATATGTTGGAATTCTGTCTCATCAGGCTGCTACTTCCATTGCACGAAAAGGCAGCCCCTCACACTCTAAAGTTATCACTAGCTTCAAACTACCATTTTCCCTAAGCACGTTGACTTTTCCTATGTGACTCCCTGCAAGCATAACGTTGTATTGAATTCTTAACAGTGATATTTGGGAAAATATAACTGTCTTCGACGACGATATCCACTTTCAGAAATTGATTTGCGATCCAATTTGGCGATGCGAGTTGAGCATTGCACAAAATCTTTAAAAGCTTCATTAATCTCATGACAAGGGTCTTTGTCTTCCATCCCCTTGGAATACTTTACAGTAGTCTTAATAGCCATTTGTCTATTTTGATAAAAAGACATTTCTATAAGATCGAAGGTAAACTCTA